ACAAGAATAAGTGAAGGAAAGGCGAAGGGTTTTAATAAAAATAATACGCTATAAAATGTAAAATTCATATTTTTGAGCTGTCTTGGGTATCGCTGAGTGTTTTTTTCAGCTACTTGATTTTTTTTTCTACTAAGCTAATTTTTGCACCTTGAATAATTACAAAAGAATAGCTATTGTTTACATGGTAAGGGTGGTGACATTCTTTGGTTGCAAGTAGTGAGGTAGAGATCAGCCTTGACCAAAAAAAGGTTTTCTCGACATTCAGTCATATCCAACTTAAGCATTTGTCATGGAAAATATGAGTAGCTAAACATAAGAAGAAGAAATAAAAGGGAAAGTAGATGTGAACCGGGAAATGTTCAACTAGAATATGTTAGCCTACTTCCCAAGATAGCTTAGAGGACCAAGACACTGTAGAATAAAAGAAAGTAGTAATGATTTGCATTAATTCTTGGAAACAATTTGATCTTGATGTAGAGCTAAACCGAGTCCAGACTATAACTTTTGAAATATTTCTTGATCACCAAAGGTCAGAAGCTCCACTTTATTCCTGAAGTATTGTTCACGGACCATCTGCCTCAATTAACTCAAGCTATTTTCTCTTCTCCCATAATGAAAACCACTCTCTACTTCCATCTCCTGTAGGACATTTACTTTATTATCAGAAGACAGATAACTATGAATCTGAGTGCCACCTTTTAATGACCTCCACATCTGCTAGAAATATTACTTGAGAAACATCTTCATGGAGATTCAATCTTATATATCATGTCAGCAAATATTTACTGACTATCTACTATGTATTGGACATGATACTAGGTTCCAGAATGTGGTAATAAATAAAATAGACGTGGTTCCTCCTGGAGATTAGAACCTGTGGCATAGACAGATACTAAACCATTACACAGTTAATCAATTTTTATATGATTTTGGAAGGTGGAACAAAAGAAGCAGCACAAGATATTGTTATACTGTATAATAAAATTCTGATCTAGTTTGGTGTGGTCAGAAAAGATTTCCTTGAGGGACTAACATTTAAACTGAGGCTTAAAGAATAAGTACGTCATAGTCGTAAGTTATGGAGACTGTTACAGATAGAAAAAGTTACAAAATGCAAGGACCTGTGACACAGGATGCCTTGAGGAGCTGAGAGAAGTGAGTGGCTGCAGCAGAATGCGTGAGGGGGCTTAGTGTGAGATGCCGCTGGTGAATTCAGGAGAAACTAGGTCACAGAGAGCCTTGTAGGCTCGCTTAGGGACTTGAGGACTTTCCTTCAAATGCAAGGCATGAAATGATCATAGCTGAATTTTAAAAAGATCCCTTTGGCGGCATCGTGATGGGTGGAAGGGGTCCTGTGGTGATGGAGATGGAGGGAAACACATCCATTCCATCTAGGAAACAACAAATGGTGTATCCCAGGGCCTGGTACTTCATTTGCATGTAGTTATTGTGTGCTTCATTCTAGAATCTGAGTTAGGCCAGAGAAAGCTAGCAGGGCCATGGCCGTAGTATTGATTTAGGACTGATTCTTGGTGAAATAGTGAATTTGGGGAAATACACCTTTGGAGCTTTTTCAATGGTACACCTTTCCTTCCCTGAATTGCAGCCTTCCTCAGGTATACAGGTATACACCATGCGAATCTTCATCAAAATGGTCATCAACTACTCCCTCTTAAGAGGCTGACACATTTTCATTAACTCTCACTCAGGCTGTGTTAATGGGCTGAAGAAATCACCCCTTACAAGGCTTCTCATATAAAGGCAAGTAAAATTTTCGACTTAAAACACAAATGAATGGGCAAAATGCTAAACAATGAGAGCGCTATTTTCTTAGGGATGGGAGTCACCTCACGTTCCTCCCACCTTCTACTTGGCAAGTGGTAACCGACTCTGTCTATAAATGAATGGCCTTTGATATACGCATAGTATTAGATGTGTACACAATTGCTTCAGGGATGCACAAAATGAATAAAAAGAAAGTGAAGTTTAAGCATGTTTTAGGGGACTATCTTCTGTTTCATGTGAGAAGGCACTGGAAGAAATGGCATTTACATTGAATTTCCAATTACATATATTAATAAATAAATGAAAGCATTAATAAATCACCTAATGTGTGTTAGGCTCTCTGCCAAGAGTTTTCATTTATCTTATTTAAAAGTATCATTCTTAAAATAGACTCTACACATAATCCTTTAGAAAAAAAGGAATCTCGTGATGGTTGATTTTATGTGTCAATTTGACTGAATCATAGGGCGCCTAGATATTTGGCTAAAGGTTATTTCTGGGTGTGTCTACGAGGACTTTTCCAGATGAGATTAGCCTTTGAGTTGGTGAACTTGGTAAAGCAGCTTGCTCTCCTCAGAGCAGGTGGGCGTCATCCAATCAGTGGAGGGCTCGAATGGAACAGAAGGCGGAGCCAGGGAGGTTCATGCCTTCCCGGCCTGACTGCATGGGCTGGAATGCCTGTCCTCTTCTGCACTTGGAACTGGGATTTGCACCACTGGCTTCCCTGGTTCTCAGGCCTCCAGAGCTAGCTATGCCACTGCTTTCTGGGATCTCCTAGACTGTGGGACGTCTCAGCTTTTATATGAGGAATCGTGTAAGCCGATTTCTTACAACAAATCTCCTTCTATGCCATAAACAGATCCATCAGCTCCAGAAGTTTCCCACCTTCCTACTCTTCTCCTTCTTCTCTCTCTCCTCCTCCTCCTCCTTCTTCTTCTTCTCGTTATTATTATTTTGTGATAAGAACGCAACATAAGATCTACCTTCTTAGCAAATTTTTAAGTCTACAATATAGATTGCGGTGATGATTTCACAGTTATATACTTGTCTCCAAACTCACCAAATTGTATACATTAAATATGTACAGTTCTTTATGTCAATCATACATCCATAAAGTGGTTTAAGAAAAATCTTCGTATATATATATATATATCCTGTCCATTTTGTATCTCTGGAGAACTCTAAGTAATAAAGTCCAGTAGGTAATATTGGAGTCTTTTTCTTTTTATCTCCTTCAGCTTCTAAGTGTATTCCTTTTAGGAACTGGGTTTTAGAATTATAAATTTTTAGCTGTAATACTTTGGCCTCAGTCTACCCAAAAATAATATAAGGAAGATGAGGAAAGCAGACCTTCAGACTTGGAATTGACCCATTTAACTCAGTAGATCAAAAGGCCAAGGCACCATGTTCTCATCGTTTAGAACAACATCAAAAAGTGACATCACCAAGATGATGGTAGAGGAGATCCTGACATCCATCCTCCTTCAAAGATCAGCAATTAGCTATCGATAAACAAAAACAGCTCTAGAAGCGCTCAGGAGTCCACTTAAAAAACTTCAGCAACACAGTGGAACAAAAACCCTGAGAATAACTGCATGGAAGGGAGCGAAGGACGGCTTCGTTTGGCCTGCATCATCCCATTCCCCAGGCTGGCTCAGCTCGGTGCCAAGAGGGAGCTCCTCACCAGGAAGACTTTCACTCCCAGAGAAAGGGAGAGTGGGCGAGTGACCCCTGTCCTCCGCCTTTCGGGCACTGCACAGAGGACCCGCTTTGGTTTTATCCCACCTGGAGACTGGCAAATCCGAGATGTAAAGAGATGGATGGCTAGGAACGAGGAAGGCGGGCAGGGGCTACCAATGTCGGCCACACAGGGGGAGTGGCCATTGTTCCCAGCGACATGTTCTGCAGAAGACCCCAGCAACTTTCACCACTGAAGAAATCAACGAGTGGCACAGCCTCCATGGATCACAGGCAGCTTTCACTAATTTTCACCCCGCAGGTTTTTGTGTTCACAGATGCCAACCACCTGAGTCCTTCCTGCCTCTTTCTGCTGCCTTCCTTTGCCAACCAGAGCCGGGGATCTGCACCAGCAGCCAGCCCAGGCCTCTGCAGCTGCGTGAGTACAAAACTCTAGCCTCAAGCCCTGCAGCTGGTCCGCCTTGCTGTGCGAGCGCTCAGGCCTGTCTCTCCAGCTTCGTGCCTGCACTCGCAAGCCTGGCTGCTGTCCCTGGCTTTCCCTGCTTGTTGTATGTGTGCCTGTGGCGAGACCTTGCACCGGCAAGAATACACGCCAATACCGGGGCTTGGACAGTTGCTCATGGGTCCAGATCTGGCCCTGTCTCCTGTCACTGGCCTGCACCACTGGGCTCACCTACAGCTAGCTGCTCCTTCTCCCCAGCTGTGCACGTGCACAGCTCCAGCCTGACTGCCCTCACTGGCCTCCACTGCTGTGCATGTGCCTGTGGTGAGACCCTGCAGCCACAGGATGCCAACAGCGGGGCCTTTGACACCAAAAGCAAAGTCAACAAAAGCAAAAATCAACAAGTGGGCTTACGTCAAACTAAAAGGCTTTTGCAAATCCAAAGAAACAACAAAATAAAAAGGCAACGTGCAGAAGGAGAGAAAAATATTTGCAAACCACATATCTGATAAGGAGTTAATGACAAAATACATAAGGAAATCATACAACCCAATAACAATAATAATAATAAAAAATCCCAATCCAGTTAAAAATGGGCAGAGCACCGGAATAGACATTTTCCCAAAGAAAACATACGAAAGGACAACAGGTATATGAAAGGATGGTCAATATCATTAATTATAAGGGAAATGCAAATCAGAACCACAATGAGATCGCTTTGCACCTGTTAGAATGGCTATTATCAAAAAGACAAGAGATAATAAATGCTAATGAGGAATTGAAACAAAGAGATCTCTAGTGCACTGCTGGTGGAAATGTAAATTGGTACAACCACTATGGAAAACAGTATGGAAGTTCTACCACATGATCTGGTAATCCAACTTCCGGGTAATTATCCAAAAGAAATAAAATCAGTATCTAGAAGAGATATTGACACTCTCATGTTCATTGCAGCATTTTTGACAATAGCCAACCCATGGAAAAAACCTAAGTGTCCAGTGACAGATGAATAGATAA